CTCAACTCGGTATTAAAAAGAATAATCTCACTAAACTTTGTGCTGTTCATTACGGCACAACAGTACAGTTGTATCGAAGGCCAACAAAGCGTGATTGATGAAGTAATTATTTTTATTATAGCTCCAGGTCTGAAACGGCCAGCACTTACTTCAGAACTAACAAAGCGATGTCGAGAACATTACAAACTGAACTGAACAGCTATTACACCATTTAATAAGCAAGGGGAAAATGGAATCCGGAAGACTACGCCACTTCACGTTTGTGCATTGCATCGATGTTGGACACTGACTGAAACACAGATGGGGAAAAGGGAGTTAAAAAGGTTCCCATGCCATCCTCTCAAAAAGGGCGGGTAATTGTTGAAGAATTTATCTTGACGAAATAATTTGCAACTGGGTCATTCCATGAGGTTTGGGCACAAGTAGTGACGATGTCCATTGTTACGTGGGTTCCGTAAAAGTTAACAGCTATTTCCCTGCGTGTGGATTCAAAATTATTCATCTTGCAAGGCTAGATACAGAGGTGTGTATTATTTTAACAGAGTAAATGACCCGTTCTGCCCAGTCACCCATGTAACAAGGACACCGTCACAAACTGTACCCTAAGCCCATGGAATGACCTAACGATGGACTCACTTATCGCTTAAAGCCACAACCCTTGAATAACATAACAGTATTCCAGTAGCAATATACCCGTGCATGCAAACGTGTACAAGATATGAAGAAAAAAAGATGAACCCAACACAGCAGATATGACTGGCTCCAATTATCTCTCCTCTAATAAGTCGGCAGAACTGACACACCGCTTGTAATAATGCTGCGCTTGCCTCAAATAACGCCTTGATCTAATTACGGAATGAAATTGTAGACCAACTGTCGGCAAACAGATGACCTACACAGGAGGAAAAAAGGCCATTTGGCTCGCCTTGCACCGAGTCCTTGCCACTAACCTACAGTAATAAGCGATCGAACGCATTTGTTTTCCTCTCACAGATCGGCCATTTTTATTTTCAAACTCCCACCTTTCTTCCAAATACTGAGATGAAAAAGAACTTGTGCGTTAACTTACAGGTTCCCGGGCAGCAACAGAGATCGTGTCAGGTCTGGTGGACGTTTCAAAAGCGGGATTGCCATGAAACATACTCTAGAATATCACACAATTGACAGGACTACATTGGATTGAAGATCAGGCATGCCTTACATGCGAAGAAGAGTTTACTTTTAAGCGTTCCATCATTTACTTGAGAATAGGAGCGGAACACGCTACAAACGGAAATCAAATTACATGTACAACCTTGTGAATATCAAAATTCAACTTCCCACCGTCAGTAATGAAGCTTAGAATAAGGCTGAATTTCCGGTTTGGTAATGACACGACAGCACAGTGTACACAAATGGAGCATCATCAACGGAACCATTATTACTCCATCAGCTTGGTTACCACCGCACAGTGCACTGGCATAAAATATGCCCAATACACCAACTCTAGACTAAGACATCTACATTCATTAGTTTCACGTGCATAACGCTATTTACAAATTAAACAAGCATCTTCCCAAATGTACATAGCACACATTGTTGCGCGGGATAACCACGCTGGATTTCGGCTATGCGCGGCACCATCGGTATTGCGCATAATTAGCCAGTGCGGATAGTTGAGTGACGGAAGACCATTTATCTCTCTTGATCAGCCCATTAGCGTTACAACTTTTATCGTCTGAAGACGACCATGCCGGATGAAAGGAAATCGATAAGACTTACAGTGCCAGTCTGAGGGGTGATGTGACAAGGACCAATTAACAAATACAAAGCGAGGAACGTGGAACAGACGCTTCCAAACCTGAATAATCAGCCTGTCGTTATACATTCACATCAGAGAGAGGGGGGGGGGACAAAAACCGCCTCACGAATAATTAATAAAGACGGCTTGGAAATTACTTTCGGGGCTACTACGAATAAAACCACCACCGTGGTATAAGCACTTGAAATTAATTACAACAAAATAAAAGTGTGTCAGTGTGATGAGTAGTGACAAAGACCAATGTACAAATATAAAGAGGGGAACAGAGAATCGACAAAAACACCAGAGTAAAGGCGCAGAAATAATCAGTAAAGACGGCTTGATATTGACGCATTCGGTTTCTGGAGTAATGCAATTAACATTGCATTCTCACCAGTTTGAATTATTTCACGAAAAATAACGCCGATTTCCCTGCAGTTAACTGAAGAAAAACCTTTTGAAACAGTGAATTTAAATAGTGACTTTTAAGCTACTTTCTACGCAGTGTATTAATTTTCCGAATAATTTGGTTTTAAATGCTTTAAAATCACGAAATCATTTCTGTTGTTGTGATTCCAAGAAACCGGTATTTGTTATAACACTTCGGGGTCCTGATTTTTCATGGCATGAAGCAAGATTGCGTTAAAACTTCCGTCACATGACAGTGCTTTGGGAGAGAAACATAACTTTACACGTTGTTCTAATAGTCGCTTCGAATGCAAGCAGAAGTCTGTGCATTCGACTGCATGTACATGTGCATGTAATGCAGTATCCACTCACTTTTAGCTTGGATTAAAAAACCGGCATTTGAATCTATACGCACACACATAAATTCTTCACTTCATGTTGCCCGGTACGCGGATTCAAGACATCCCTCAGAAGTTCGTTACTCAAGTAGGCCCTATCGCGCAACCTGAATACGGCAAAGCGAATGAACTTTTAAAGGAGTTCAAAGGTTCAAATTTAGTCGGAGGTAGGGGTAAACTTGTGCAAAATATTTGCAAAGACTTTGCATAGCAAATGGCATTAAGTACTGAGCTTGGAACTGTCTGACGAGTCCTCCTGATTTATAGGCTTGCCCTGCTAGTTTTGAGACGTTGACTTTCCAACAAAGTGTAAATTCGGAATTTATTCGGCCCCCAAGAGAATGCTTTGTAAAGACAAGTTGAGCCTGCCTTCGACTGAGTGGAGTGCCGATTGAATCTGGAGGCGACCGAGGCCTTTCGTGATGAGGTGTTTTATCGATATTCACGGTGTGTCAAAGTGAACAAGTTCCGTTTTGTGCCGCAAGGCGTAGCCGAGAAAAAAAAACTCGGGACTGGATAGGCTCGAGTTAATAATATCGTACTTGACATGTTGCAGACAATAATTCTGGCGGATTTATGAGATTGGGCAAGTAGTGCATGGTGGTAAATGGCGTAAGTTCTGGTTGAAACGACTGTCACCCAGTTCAATTATTTTAGGAGTCCAGCGCTATTAAGGGAAAGCGGCTAAGGTAGAAAGATGATGGGTGTTGAGTGTTACAGTATTCCGAAGGTAAACCGGAATTAGCGCCCAAACTGTCTGAAGCGGGAGCCAGCATCTCCTTCGTGTTTTCCCTTCCAGAACACAGGCTCAACGGCACCTAACTGGATCCACAGCTATCAACTTTAGCATTCATGACAGGCTTGTCAGCCGAGTCTTCGTGCCGGGCAACTGGGAGAGTCACAAGGCTCAAATGATGAAGTCCCCTCCCTCCCCACATACAATTTAGTGGCAACATTTTACATCCATCAGTCTGGTTGCCAGCAGGGGCCTTTGCTTCCTCGACGCAACCACTTATCGGGTGTTATTTTAGTTCGGGCTAATTATCCCTCTAATCCAATTTCAAGTCCGCTAATAGCTCGCCTGGGGACGTGCCCCACCAAAGACTTTTAAAATTCATTTACGCACATCCGGGATTACGCGGGAATTTCCCGTAAAACTGGAAAACAAGACTACTGGTTACAAATTGTATAGAATAGGCACGATTCCAACGAGGCAAATACGCACTCAAAGATTCTGAAGTCAATACACGCATTACCGATAATTCATGTAGCTGTTTCTGAATGGCGTTCTAGTAAACGAATGTTATACGCGAGCCGGAGGAACTTGGAGGTGATTTAAAGATGAGAAGACGGGAAGCATGTGTGATTATTTTTGGGGGGCAATTTAATTAAGAAGAGGGGCTTTCCTCGGCGTGTTTTGCTAGTGACTTATTGGAGTCAGCTTTGTTAAAGCAATGCGTAATTAAGCTGCAGGGGGTGATTAACTGGCGCTAAAAATACAAACACATTACCTAATGACTGTTACATCACCGCTCGGCTAATTACTTGGGTTGAATTAAACCTGTACACTGTTGCGGATTGAATTAGGTACAACCCTTTTTCAAGTTCTTGCTCACGGAGAACCATATAGACTATACTGCATCCACCCTGTTGTCCCAAGTTGTTGATATTTCTGTTGATTTATTCAAGGCATGCATGGAAGTTGCAACGGTACCTTCTCGGTATGCACTCACTTATATTGTGTACATCTGTTTTCATTCGGTTGCTCCTGTGCGGTGGGGCACTTATGCTCGTCATCCGTCAAAGGTTGTTCTCTCTACAGTCCCAGTGCAAAGGCGGAATCAATTCTAGAGGTTCGACAGGACATAGCCCCTTGACTAGCTCTATACATGCGCCTCGGTAAATAATCCCAATTTTCACGCATGAAGGCACGTAAGTACATTGTACTGCCAAACATAAATACTCAAAACAGAAGTATGTCTGCTTCTGTCTACAAGCAATGTGTGTACAGAACGCAGAAATCGGTAGTACGCGCCATATTTTCCGCGTCGACACGAGTAGAACCGTATCTGGTGAAACCATGACAGAATGGAATTCGCACCAGGTTCTTTGTTCTGGCTGGTAAAAGGACCAGTTCGTTAGACAGGTGCTAAAAGGTTACAGGTTGCTGCAGTCAACACGATGTCGTAGATTCAGCGTCGCAAGTCAGTTTTAAATTAGAACAAGGGTTTTTGAAGGGGGAGCGCATGTGCTTGTCTATAAACACCGCATTACCGGATAGGAATGGTGCTCTACTTTGAAGGTGTGGCATTGCATAAAAAAAACTGCCCATGGCACAATATTGTTAATGTCTCAAAGTAAAAAAAAAATAAAAAGCAAACAAATGTCCGGAATAAAACCGTGGAATGACTTACTTCTTGCATTTGGCATAACGTAGTCCCGAAGCAACTTGTTTATATTTGACGGGTCTTCGATCTCTTCTTCCTTAAAGCTGACCGCCTCCGGGGTGCGAAAACCATTCTCAGCAAGACCAAAATATGCTGCCCCGGCTCCAAATTGGCAATCCCTGTAATTCGTGTCTGAATCTTCATACATGAATGCTGTGTGGTTCCAATTTTGATAAGTAAAGTAATCCCGTATGTACCTTGCCATTTTGGAAAATGGTCCCGACAAACGGGTTAAGGTTTTATATTCCAGCTTGTTATCATACCCAAGGGCCTGGCCCCCAACAGTCAATATGGGCACACTCCAATGGGCTGAAAATCGACCGGTGGGTGCCATGGCGTACTCACAAACTGGACCGATAAACACATCGGTTAGATACTGGTATCTCAAGTCCACGGTGGATATTTGAGTAACACCGCTGTCGCACTGGGAGTTGGTGTGAATAACGGAGACATTGAGAACCCCTGGCACGATCTGGTCGTACTTCTCCAGAGCCATGTCAAGACCCGGTGTCAACATCTGCTTGTAGTAAGGGTACTGCAGGTCTGTGGTCACCAGAGGCCAATCCGGCAGGAGCACGGCCATTGTAATTGTAACTTCCGTGTTGGCACGCGGTGGAGGTGGGGATCCATTTTGGGCGGTGGCAATCATCGGTCTTGTGACTGCGTACACGTACATAAAGAGAGGGACAAGCACCTTAGCGGTGGTCGTAAGCATTTGGCACTCCGTGGTACCCATTACGTTATATGTTGCGTCCTTGAATCCACCTCAACTCAGACGCACTATGAGTGCAACAACCCCGGTGCATGTGATCTCCCCTGCGATTTCGACTGAGCTTTCCCACCTTAAAAGAGAATCGAAATCTTCACAGCTTAGCAGAGGCATTGACGAGGTCGATTCACCGGCAGACACTTTCACGACGAGCTTTATTGTTGGGACAGCTTAGGGGTATTACATCATAACTCACGCCATATGTTGTTGCAGAGCACCCACAACAAAGATTTTTGATCCTTTGCCCATCGACGCTCAGGTGGTCACACAGTCAACCTCTCACCACTTGACTTGCTCGATGGCGTGTGTCCACGACTTCATTAGCAACATACGCACTGGTTACGGCTGAAGGAAGTGTACATGGAGATTCAGGAACACGACATGTTCACAATATAGAGCAAACACAATGTGCATGGCCTTCAGGAGCACCCACAGGCACGGATTCTGCGCGGTGGGAGCAGGGAGGCCCTCGGAATAACCAGGCAGCGAACCCACTCGAGTCAGTGTTGCTGTCATGACCCTAGCCCAGCAAATAGTGCACAGAGCAAAGCAACCGTACCAACTACGTGTTGCGCATATAGAGCATGCAGCGGGTGAGCTGACTGCACAGCTAGCTCGCTACGTTCTCTCTGCCACCACAGGTTGTCCAATAAATACACACGGAAGTAACAGCACCACGCTCTGCTGGTACTTGAGACTACAGTACATGTACCTATACAAGGCGAAGGCACGAGCACGGTCCATTGCACTGATCATGCATCGAGGCTCACGATGACGTGGCCACGCCAGTCGAAGTGAAATTTCCAAAATGTTGTACTTTCAGCAGGCTGTTCAACACTTGCGTTTTGGATGCTCATAATTCCATGAAAAGGACACACCAGTCGTTTTGCATGTAAAAGGCTGACAGGAACGGACGCAATGTTTAGCCATGGTTCAGCACATTTACGAAACCCAGCTAGTAGCAAGACGAAACTCTGTGAAATGAACGATGCACGGTTGAATAGCAGACCCTACTAAATTGGTTGAATGGACTTTCATGAATTTGGCGATATCTGGAATTTGTGGGCTTGAATTTAGAATTTCGTATTCTTTCAAAATTAATAAAACAAAAAATAAAGGCAGATATACGCGTCCCAGGGTCACACGCATTGGGGGTGAAGTGGACTGTAAAGACTGGTTGTGTGCATCTTATTGTAATATTGATGAGGCGTGGTTGTAAATCGCCGCATAACAAGCACGTCCGTTCTAACAGAGACAAGGTGCATTTTGACTAAAGCCGGCGACTGAATTAATTATGCTGGCCTTTGGGCGTCAGTAGACTTCAAACGCGCAATATGCATGATGTCCGTCTGTATTCGGGACAAATCCTGATCGCTGTGCCTTAACACAAAACTTAAAAAAAAAGCTCATTCCCAGTGGGCGGATTCCACCTTCAGGTTTGGCTAAAAATCTTCGAGAAACTTGGCATGGAAATAAACGCCATGCCTCTGCATGTGAGTGCGTCTGTGAAATATCGTTTCAATCGGACAAATTTACAGTTCGTATCCTTGAGCGTGTCAACCCATGATTAAGCACGGCCAACTGGAAACATTGACTTTTATGTCTTCACCTGTCTTGGATAAAAGTGAACATTTTGTGGGAACCGTATGTCTGACGTTCGTAAAACCTGATGTAAAAAAATTACTGCAAGACTTCAGCGGCAAAATCCTAACGCCTCTGCACAATACAGAAACCGAACCGAACTGGGTGAGAACCACATTTGGGACATCATTTTTCAATGGCTTAAAATCGTCCAGAAATTCGGCGTTGAATGCCGGTTCAAGATACTTGGCGTGACAGCGAACACAAACGTGAATTTGTGACGTCAGATCAAATACATTGAGAACTTGCAAAAGCTTAACACATTTCAACTTTAGCAAAATTTTCCTGCAAATCTTTCGTGACGTCAAATTCGCTTTCGCTTTTACATTCGCCTAAAGTATTAACTGGCCTGTAGTTGGCACGATTAAGTTTGTCTGCGTTCAGTTTTGAATATTTTCCACGGTGTCGTGTTGTCAGACATTACCTTGAAATAGGTTACTCTTGTAAGTTTTGGAAGGTAAAACCTTGATTTCATAACATGAATAAAAAAATGCACGAACTAATCACCGAATTCGAGATACGTAGGCAATCCGCTTGGAGCAGAAGCACCCCCTCATCGGTTGAAAAGAGCCATGGTAGTGGGAGTGTTCATTTTGCTGGTAGCGATGCGATCGTAACGCGTGCATTTCATATTCGTTCGTAAACCAGCGAAGTTCAGTTCAGACCAAAGGATCCTCTGTTGCTATGAAAACTACACCCTTATTTGGTCCAGCTCGAGGCTCACAACCGTTATTTTGAAAAAAAAGGGGGCCGAGGTCTAAGGTTATCACCCTGAATACCACATCGGATTCATCTCTGCCAATGAATGGCTGATGCCGAGGAGACTGTCCAACTGGCCCGGAGAATCGGAGTTATTTCTATGCATATAACAATTCTTTTTAGGGACATTTATGTTCTCGACTAGATCCCGGTTACATCATGGCAGATCTAAGTGGCGAGTTTGCGTACTATTTTCCAATGTGTCTCGGCTCAATTGAATTGAGACTTGCTCGCGTCTTTAAGTTCCCGGCAAAAATAAACCAAGTGTGAAACATGAACAGCAAAAGTGGACAGTTGTTTTGAAGATAGGCAGGTGTAGGTAACTGTACAAGTGGACAACTCTATGAAATTCTATTGACATAATTATGATTGGGATTTTTTAATTCTGGCGTTTTACGGCGAATGCTGAAACCCCTAAACGCAGCTAGCTACATGCATTCAGATGGTACCACTGCGGCGTGTCATTGAAAACTGCCGGTATCTCCTTCATTAATCTTGCATCAAATTCATTAGAACGGCAGCTCCCCAGCAATAAATTAAAATCGATCAGTCGGGGCCTGGCGATGTTGGGACGTTTTCACGGCAATTGACTCGCGTGACAGTGCCGGCGCGTGCCGCGGTGCTAATTGTGAATGACTGAATCGATCTTGGATGATGATGAAACTTGGCTATTGTAGATACACACACGCACACAGCCGGGTTTGGTCGCGGTGCATCTGCTGGCACTGTCTTCCAATAAATCCGAGGCTGCTGGCGCTCACCAAATGCAGACTGGAAACCGAATGACAGGCCCCGGGGCCAACACAGGCACTCCTTCCGACCACGTCTGCCGTGCGTCTCAATATCAATATCCCTATCAATATCCCTCATTATTGCAAATGGATCGATTCAACAGATGCCATTTAATCTGTAGACAATCGCAGTGTAAATATGATACGCTCCCTTTCAAAGTTCACTAAAAAGCCTAACAATCTAGGTCGTGGTTGTACATGTAGATCCCAGGTTAGGGATATAGCCCCCCCCCAGACCAGAGAGATGTGCCATAGAATCACCCAACCCTAAATTTTGTACAGAACTAATAAAAAAGGTAACAAAAAAGAAGATACAATGAAGTAGGTGTAAGGAAATAAGAGTGGGTTTGAATTTCATCTAAAAATCCAAAGAGTACTTTAACAAAGAGGGCCAAATTGTGGCTGCGTAAGCGTATTTACACGAAGTACACAAATTAAAGCAATAACACAACGTATTAAAACAAGGGGTTTCGGCAGGTTTGAAGAAAAGACACTACACGACTCCCCCTGATGTTAAACATCGTGCCGCTCTTATACTCCGGCCTTCCAACATTATTAGAGTGTTCCATTGTTGGTTTCTTATAACTTGGTGGTTCATTATCAACCCCCACTGCACTGCCAGCACGCAGTCATCACTTTTTGTTTGACACACAAGAGAACAAGCGTGACAGGCTTGGGAATAATGTTAGCAAACTCAAAGAGGGTGCTAGATCGGTATGCGTCCTCCATAGATGGACAGCCGGCCAGTGAAGGTAGATCCCATCCGATTACGTGCGGTGCCCGATTGTGCTAGATGTTACTTGTATATTAAAAATGCTCGATGGTGGCTCTGTATATTAGCATGATCGTAACTTGTTTCCAGAAAGTGAATGATGCACACCAACTGACGAGTAGATAATATGACATCATTGTAAGGGTTTCACCATTTAAGTTCCCTGTGGAATACAAGCAGAACGGTAACACTTTCAGTAGCGTGATTGCGTCAAGGACTAAACTTAGGGGAAAACAATCCCGTTCTTGGCGGTATTTTCCCTTTCGCCATCGCATGTGATAAGGAAGGGTAATTTTCGTTTAGTCACAGACCACCCTATCACTAGCAGGCATCGCGCTACTATGTTTGCGTATTTTACGCTCAGCCTGGTCGAAACGGGGTGTATCCTGATGCGCGGTAACATGGTGTGTATTGAGAAGCCAAAATAAAATAGAGACTGTCGTCTGCAGTCTTGACGTTATTGCATCGCAGTCATAATGACCGCAGGAGAGCGATGTGGGTTCAGAGAATTTTTTTCGGATGTGTGTACTCTCCAGATCCTTGCAAACTATTTGTGGACCCCCCCCAAATGCGGTTCCATCGTATAGACAAAGCAAAACAACTCCATTGTAACTAAGGTTGTGCATGACTGCCATCTTTCCAGTAACTGCTTTTGTTACAGAGGGATAGTACAAAAGGTCTACTCATGTGTATGATCCCTGTGGAAGAGCCGGAAAATGGCTGTCATACACAAGCTCTACAGTATGAACATGTGAGTTTCGGAGGGAAACAGGTGGTGCTGGAACGGCTTGTGTGCCAAATCCCATGTTTTTTTGTGTGTTTCAATACGGGCGTTTCCCAAAAGTGAGCCTCCAAGAGTTTGCAAAGTGTTGGCCAATGACGAAACGCGAAATTTGTCGACCCAGTGCGCGTTTGGAAAGGGTCGACAGATTTCGCGCGTTGTGGTTGGCCAAAGCGTTGAAAACTCTTGGAGGTGCACTATTGTGAATCGCCCATTTCATGATCCACCTGAAAAACCAAATCAGATGTATTTTATATACATATGGATCCTAAAATAGTTGGCGTAGATCCAGAAGGAGAGGGGGTGTCATCAACTCCCCCGCTCACAGCCAGGGGCCAACATCTAGGTTGGAAGATCCCATAAAAAGCATCAACCACGACGGGGTCTTTTTATGCGTGTACGGCAAAGGGCAAAGCAAAGAGATTAAATGGCTTCACCAACATCGACTACTACCTGTTGTAACCCCCCATCCCCGTACAAACAATATTTTTCCCCCACCCCAAACAAAATATCCTGGATCCGTCAATGAGTAGGAAGAAATGCCATGTCAAGCGAAGGGTCGAGGATGCACCACGAGGCAAACTTTCTGGTGCATGACCCACTACCTGCAGACCAGCAGTAATGAGCAGACCTCAACACCTACCAAAATCAATGAGGAATTTACTACAGTTATTTCCCACTATCACGCAGCTACCTGGTTAATATAGATACACTTCACTACTCAGTAATTAGGAGTAATAAGCTTAAAGGAACCAGAAAATATAATTTTTTTTATAAATATTACTAAAACCCCTTGAAATTGCATATTTGGGTTTCAATTAATCTTATTTAAAATTTTTGTTTTGCAATTTTAACCCATATGTTGATGCGTTTTGGTTTTTATGCTAATGATTTGCATATTCATGAGCAGAACTATGATGTCATCCAAGGCACTGAATCTCAATGTTGCACTGATTTGTGCACAGAAAATTTCTAGATTTTTTTAACCACTGCTATAGCAGATTTCATTTTCTTTGGCAATTTATTGCTGTGTAAGTATATGGCAATGACCCAGCAAAATCCTTTTCACAGAAATGTTCCCAAATAGCAAATTTGAGGTTCACAATATGAACATGAAAACATGCAAACTGAACCATGTCTTCCTGGATTTACATCAAAGCAAAAGCGCCCTCACTTGTTCAGAAATGCTTGGTCAATTTTTGATGTTTGAAAAAGTGCACTGTTCAGTTCATGTAACTCAAAAGAGACGTCAAACAGTCTTCATACATGGAAGAGGAGTACAGAGATACACAAAAACTGATTCTAGAAAAATTAATTTCCTGGATCCTTTAAAGAATCCATGCAATGAATATTATTCCTAAACTCACCTAATGCGCCTGTTCATACTTTTCTTCACCCGTATGAGAACGGTTTGAAATCCTTTTGAAATTGCAAGTGTATTGAAAAGGGTTAATCGTTGTACACGTCGTGAAATAATTGTATTGCATATCCCTTTCACGGACATGGGAAATTGGCAGTTAGTTTGCTGGAGATTCGAGGGGTTACTGATTGGTCAAGAAATGACGTCTAAAATGCTAAAATGTTTCAGGATTTTCTGCTAAATGCTCCGGGTTCATTCTCATAGGCCTCCAGGGCAAGGGAGGAAAGCAGGGAATCATTTGTGCCGTGACAACTGAGCTCTAATGGCAGGAGAACCATGCGAATGAGGATAATT